ATACAATATCAAAATATCAACATAAGGTGATATAACCCTTCTTGAATAATCAACACGTTAAATAACTTCCTAACAAAATTATACTTTTCGTTCAACATCACTGCATGTTCATATTGTACATAAATTCAAACTAGCGAGTAAAAAAAACATAAAACTAGTCTTCTCCTTTGAACATTTTTACAAGACAATGTAAATTCAGTATATTACAAAACTTGAGTTATTAATACACCCTAAAACAACAAAACAAGTTACCAAATTTAAGTTACAAGATTTTGGTCTTAAGATCCAACAAGCCTCCAAAATAACGTACATGAGTGCGACATATAGATCATGTACGAGTCCCAACACTATACAAAATCTAGTTGCATATGCAAATGTGATCTCCATAAGTGCTCCCAAAAAATACTACTTCATAAGGTCGTCTTCAAATCTCATCTCGTACATTACCTACGATAGAAAACAACTATCGCTAAGCATAAAGCTTAGTGGCGTATAAACTTTGGGCTTGGAGCCATTAAATTCTCCAATTCCCCTTTTCAGTTATAGGTAGCTCAAATTAAACATAATTTAAAATAAGTGAACAAATATATCAAAATTATCGAATAGCAAACCTTGAATATCAATAACAATATTCAAGATTCAAGAGTCGAGAAAGCGTATACTATCAATCCAAGAGAGTTTGCCAAATATTCATTTTTCGCCCAATATGTACGTCATGCCATCACACTAAGCATAATCAGATATCAAGGTGGACCAAAGCCCCAAATCAAGTAGGGCCAAAACCCAATAGTCAAGAGAATCAAGAACCATATTAAAAATGGCTTCCTAGTTCGTACTTAACACTGACAAGTTCCATAATTTAAGACGAACTACAATTCCAAAGTCAAAATGGAAAAAGATCCGAACCAAGAGGCATGCCAAGATGAGTGACAAAGTCACTTCCACAAGAAGGACAAAGTCCCAACAATAATGCTAAATGATCAAGCAAATCCATATGAGTGAGCGATTTAGCGAATATCTTACAATACTTGATATAACACGAATATAACGATATAAATTGAAGACAAGAAAAAACAATGAGGTTATTTCAAAATATTCCAGCAAGTAAAAAGAGTACAAATTTTATACAAACCTTGATGTTTTAACACAAAACAGTTCAACTACAACTTGAGGACGTTCGAATCATCTACGTCATAGACAAACCAAATCCGTCCACTTCCTCAAATACTTTTCCTTAGATTTTACAAGGGTATATATATCTTAAATACATAAATCAAATATCTATATAAGTTCAGTGATTTAACATGCCAAACTAAACATGATATTGATGCAAATTACCTAAAAAACTTAAATAGAAATTCTGGACAGTATCACTGTCTTGTGTTATGACTCAGTTTTGAAGATGAAAATGGACAAACTAGACTGTGTGGTCTTCATTACAGTTGTAGATATATGCCTTACTATTTCAGTAAATCTTGAATCACCCCTATATCAGTTTTATACAAAAGGTTATGCTAAAATTACTAACAGTAGTACAGGGAGGGTTTGTAAAATAAAAAATCTGGGCAGCACCTCCCCTGTAGTTCATCACCCATTTTCGGGTAAATAAAAGACAAACCAGGTTTTGGTGCCTGAATAAGAGTTATAGATCTATGAAATAGCTTTCCAGAAAAGCTTGGATCACTTAAAACGGATCCATATACAAGAATATACGAAGAAAACACTAATCGCTGTCTAGTGTAAAAACGAGTTTAGTAACTTACCACAAAAGAGATGAGCAACTTGAGCTTCACCAAGAACGAGTTTTGCTGGTTGGTTTAGTGAAAATTTTTGATGGTTATCATGAAGTATTTCAGGTGATAAGCAGGAGAGAGAGTAGGCATTTTCTTTAGTATGAAAGAATGAAATATGAGAGGAGGTTATGAAAAAGCAAATCAAATAAGTAATACTTATGAACTTTGGATATGTATGAAATAAAATTGGCTGCCCAAAGAACTAAATATCTTTAAATAAATATAAAAGGATGGCAGCACAATACCTTAAATATATAATGTATTTAATAATAATTTATCAAAATAATATTTAGTGTTACACATAGCAACACAATGGACTTCTTTGTCAATATTAACATAACTTAAAGTAAGCAATTTTTATATTATTGTCAATTTCACATTTAGGAAGTACGACGGAAAATCTATCTTCATTATAAAGATGCTCAATCGAGAATGAAAATATTACTTAAAACTTTGAGGTGTTACGGCCAATCTGTCAAAGTGTTCAGAGTGTGTCCTCGGTAGAGCAATTCGTCATGTTGGCGTGTTTTCCTCTCTGTTTTGGTATCTTCTGAATCCTTTTCAGTGGGGTTCTAACTGTGCAGGCAATAGTGAGTTCTCGAAGGTTGGACAATAGCATCACGAGCACGAGTTTCACTTTCAATCTAAAGGTGAGTTCAAAATTGTTCCACTGTTAATTTATCAGAAATGCAAGATTTTCTTTCTATAGTCATTCAAGGTATAAGGCAATTTCGACAGTATGGCACCTATTTGAAGTGCATCGGGAACTTTAACTTCAAGATCACTTAGTTTTGAAACTAAGATTTGTAGTTCTTGAATCTAATCCATAATGGGCTTTGTCTAAACCATTTTAAATTCAAAGTATTGTAAGGACAAAAATTTATCAATACCACGCTTTTCATTTTCATGTGCGGTCTACAATGATGTCCATATTTTCCTTGGTAATTTCATATTGGAATACAAATCATAGAGCCAATATGTCAAAGTGTTTAGAATGTGTCCTCGGCAAAGCAATTCATCATGTTGGCGTGTTTTCTTCTCTTCTTTCGTATCTTCTAAATCCTCTTCAGTGGGTTCTAACAGTGCAGGCAATAATGGATCAATGACGTAAAATATCTTTAGAGCAGTAAGCAAGAAGATCATCTTGTCCTTCCAGCGAGTGAAGTTCGTTCCATCAAACCGATCTAGTTTGATGAACTTTTTTGTGTTCTCTACAACAGACATAAATTTCTTCATAATAGAATATATCTTGAAAATTATTAGAAAAATTGCAGAAGAATAGCTTTGACGCGTGAAAGATTAATATATTTCAAGAGATATTGTCCGTATATTCTTTAGGGGATTACAAGCAATTCTCCGTTAACATACAACAAAGCCAGAATTATATGTACAAATTAAATATCACTGCTCCTGAGGTGTTCTTCTATTTATTGGACTCAAGAGAAGACTTTTCAAAAAAGTCACACTCCTATGCGAACAATTATGTCTATTTTATTTAAAATTCAAAATTAAATACAAATTTTAAATAATTAGAAACTGCTCCAAACGGTAAATACGAAAATAAAACCTTTCTTTAAAGGTCCAACATGTGCCAAAATCCAAGTCGTTTAGATATTATTATTATTATTATTATTAATTACACACATGTAATAACATATGTTACACATACTTTATAAGTGTGTCAAATACTCATTCGATATGACTTAGTGGGCTTTTTTAATGCCTCAAAGGTTCAGCCACCGATGTGGTAAACCCACGTATACAAACTATATCTAACAATAGAACTTAATTCAAAACGGAGCTTCACATTCCCAATTCCCAAGATTTTAGCTAGAGGTAAAAGAAAAAAAGGACGAGGATGATAAAATGTAGGAGATAAGAAAGAGAAATAGGCCCAGCTCAACTAGTTGATCAATATGTGGGATAAGCTTGGAGATGGGTCAGTACGCCTTTTACTGAGCTTTGTCAATGCCTAAAATGTCCAATGACTTCTTATAATTAGGCACACCATATTGAAGAAAGTGATTAAATGTGCGGTAGTTTTTTTATTTTTTATAACTTGGGGACTGCCAGGTAATAAATGTGACAAGCAGAAGAATTAATAGTGTAGATAGGTTGACATTGAAAGCTAGATTTACCTATCTACTACAAGATTGTTTTAGTTCAAGAAAGAAGTCTTTAATAATTATTTGAAATGTCTATGTTGAATGCGAAAATTATCCTGCCCAACCTCGTGTAATAATTTCGTCGTTGGAGTTAAAAGGCTCGATACATGAAATGTCTATACTTTTCATGAGTCAATTCCGTAAAAATTAACTACTGACGTGTGTTATTAACATTAAAGAGACCAAAAATGTGGTTTTCATGAACATAAGGAACAAAAAATGCTCATAAGCATTTTCAAAGGATCGGTTTAGACATCGGACTAATTTTGTCATTTTCTTCAAATATTCATCAAATAACAACCTCTTCATTATTATTCATCTGCTAAATTTATATATATATATATATATATAGGGTACTATATTTAAACAAGTTACTCTAATAACTATAGGATGTTACACCTAATTCCCATATTAATTAGTAATGTAGAATCTTATATCGAAAATAAAATTAAAAGTGTTGCCCAAATGCATCGATCGGTAGTGAGAGTGCTAGGATTGAGGATGTCATAACAAACACAACGAAGAAACTAAACATGAATTGCATGTGATGTTCCTCTCGAATTATGCATGCAAACAGGAGCGAAGGTATACGTGTGGTCAACTGAACACCCTTCGCCGAAAAATTATACTTTCTCCGTTTCAATTTAGATGGAGTAGTTTGACTCGACACAGAGTTTAAGAAAAAAAAAGACTTTTGAAACTTGTGGTCTTAAAATGTTAAGGGGTCAAAGTTTTGTGGGGCCATGACATTTATGTGATTATAAAAACTTTTCATTAAGGGTAAAAGGATAAAATAAAAAATTTAAAAGTGAATTATTTTCAAATTTACAATTGTGTCATTTATTTTGGAACATACTAAAAAGAAAAGTACCTCATCTAATTTGAAATAGAGGGAGTACTATGTATATTGTAAAATATTATTTGTTATTGATCAAATATAGACGTTAAACACCCTTTGCATAACCCACTGGCAAATAGTGTTTAAATTTTGAACATCTTTATTGAATTTTCTGGCACAAACACTCCCTACGTCACTGTTCACAAAGCCTTCAATATACAGCAAATGTCTTTTCCTTAAAACAACTCTCAACAATCCCACATCCATTCTGTCGAGTTTGAGATTGTAAGTTCATAGCAAAATGAACTCAAAGAGTAGTACCATTGAGGTTGGAGCTGATGGAGTTGCTGTTATCACCATTATTAACCCTCCTGTCAATTCTCTTTCCTTAGATGGTATGTTAAGAACTTCATACATCTCCCTTTTTTTCCTTTCGACATTTTTGATTATTGTTTCAACGTTGTTCGAGCGTGGAAGCAGCCACTAATATTTGCATTAGGATAGACTGTCTATATCACACCTCTATATCAAACCCTTGGGGTGCGGCCCTTCCCTGGATCCCGAGTGAATGCGGGATGCTTTGTGTACCGGACAACCTTGCCCTAGTTTAACATTTTCCTAATATTAAAAATATATTGGAAACTTTTATATTTTAGATATATTTAATTTGTAGTTGTTATAAGGATTACTTTCCCCTGCATGAGGTCGGATGATTTTATTCTTAAAAATCTGACTTTTCTTATCATGGTCTCTTGCATTGAGTTTCTCATTGTTAGTACAAAATTTGATAGTAAAATTTGTTTATGAAAGCATATTTTTTCTCTTCGTTTTAAAAGAAAGAAAAAGAAGAAGTGGTAGCTGTTAAATTTTACGAATTTAAAGCTCAATATACTTGAACCCACTCTTTGATCTTCAATGTACCGCATTTTCTTTTTAGTTTTGTACAGCTTGGAAAAGAAATTAGAGGAAGGCTTAAGGAGAGATGATGTGAAGGCCATTGTTGTGATAGGTATATTTGATGAAATTACATTCATTTATAAATGTACCAAATGGATGATATATATATATATATATTTAAATTTTTCTTGCTATTAATTGGTAGTAATAAGGTTGTATCTTGACAGGTTATCAAGGCAATTTCTCGAGTGGTTTTCATATCTCTTCCTTTGATGACTTGCAACAAGGAAAAGGTAAGCATTCTAGCAATCTGAAAATACATGCTAGCTCAGGCGAGTTAGAATTTGAACCTTATAGGTTTGTGATTCTAGTTCTTTTAAGTTACTTATTTGAGATTTCAGTTCTTTTAAGTTACTGAATTTTAAGATAATTATTTGAGATTCCAGTTCTTTTAAGTTAATTTTAAGATAATAATTTGTACATATTAAAAAATAGTATAAAGTTTGTACCAAAGTTGATGTATTTTACGGACTAACTAAGCCCTTGCATGCTAGTTCTCTACTGCACCATTTTCCTTCGCTAATTTCAGTCTGCCAAATATTCCAGTTGCACAACCAAAACCTGGTTATGTATCAGTTGATATTCTCACCGACACTGTGGAAGGTATGCCTTTTGCTTTATCTTTCACCTTTGAAACGCTAAGTTGGATGCAGTTTTAAGGGTGTGTTTGATAACACGAAAGTCATTTTCCGAAATAAATAATTTCTATGAGTAAGTCATTTTTTGGTATGACATAAGACATTTTCTAGGAAAACTTTTAATCATCAAAATAGGGAAACTGACTTCCCTCATTTATGGGTAGAAGTCATTTTCTTTAAAGCTATTTTAATTTTGAACATTATATTACTTGTTCCAACTAATTACTTGTAGACACTATTATCAATTATTAATACTCAAAAGTTCCATCAAAACAATCTCTGATTTGCTAATATATTATTATTAATCTTTAATATATGTATTTTTAAGAAAAAACATATACCAACACACCATAAATTGTCATCCGACACGGTCACACGGAAATAGAGATTCTTCCAATTTCGCCTTCAGCGGCAGAGTTGTAGGCTATTGCATTCTAACTTAGAGCTCCTTCTACGTACTTAACTAGCAGCAAAATTGAATGCAGTTCTTAAATTGTTAATTTAGTCTTACTTGTCTTTGATGTTATAAGCTGCACGAAAACCTTTAGTGGCGGCGATTGATGGTTATGCATTAGGTGGAGGATTAGAAATTGCAATGGTACGAACATGTTAAATTACATCTTTAATTCTCTGCAGAAGGTGCTGATGAATCCATTTAATTTGCTAACTCTTTTTTTGTGCGTGAATTAGTGTTGTCATGCGCGGATTTCCACTCCGAATGCACAACTTGGCTTGCCAGAACTTCACCTTGGTATAATTCCTGGATTTGGAGGTATGCAAGCTTGTCCGTTGCTTCGTCCTCTCTTCTTTACATTATATCAGTATATTTTAACCTATTACAAGTTACAACAGATCATTTACTTTATTTTCTCGGTGATGAAATCAGACTTATATAAATAATTGGTACTTACTTATTGTTGCAGGTTACATAAACTTGATAATGTAAGAAAATTTTTACGTGTCGTTAGTTCACATAAGTTACCTGTGTATTGTTTTATATTGTGCGTGACCTCTTACCATGTAGTATAGGTATGGACACAATGTCGCATTCGATATTGATGCCAAACCAAGAAACAAATTCTTTTAAAGAATCAAGAGATCGAATGGAATCTATTGCAGTTTTGCAACAGAGTCATGGTGTTACGTAGGACATGTCATGGAAAGTTGAATAATTAATAATTAGAAAGTTGGACTCCTGAAGGAAGATTCATAGAAGGTTCCTCTTTGTATGTTTTGGTCTGTTAGGAGAGAAAATACTCCATTAACTAGTCGATATAATAATACTTCGATCGAAAGTTATCTGCGTAAGGTCAGGTCGAGGTCCGAAGTAAGGGCGTCATCATTCGAGCGCCAAGACCGATCAAGGATCATCTCGGTATCATTATCGGGCCCATAACCAAATCGAACCACGAGACAACGCGAAGGTTGTCGGAGATGCATAGACCGACCGACACCCACCCCGAATAAGACTCCTAGTCAGGATCGAGCTCGAGTCAAAACCGATGGATCGATCCAATATCGAGTTCGAGTCAGTGTCGAGCTCGCAAACAAGAGCCGTTGCAACCGCACTGAGAGAAAGAATCCTGGCAGGAATTAGGGAAAAAATAATTCATCATGGTCTCTCCACTATATATTTTTTATTGTATTTAAAGTAGGGTCCCTCTACTATAAAGGGGGGATTATTGTAAGCATAAGGGGCACTCATACATTGTAATAAAAGTCTACTTCTCATATTGAAAGATCAACCTCTTGGACTTGTTTTACTTTATCTCATTTATTCTTCCCGCTCACTATTTTGTCTCTCACTCCCATAGTCTAGAAGATACGCATTTCTATTTCTCTGTACGATTTGTGTCAAGTTATATCACACATCCTTAGAACTACTTATAAATTTAACTCTATCCGATTTTTCGAGTAAACAGTTTGGTGCCCACCGTTGGGCTAAGGATAACAGTGTTTGTTTGATAGAAATCTGCAACACACACCAGTTCACGCTTGTCTTTTGAGGGTGTCTCTGACCTCGAATTAGCAATGGCAAACCCTCGGTTAATGGCTTTACCTACCGACAACGAAGTCGGCCTTCAAGACTAAACCAATTACTTGATGCCCAGGGCCTGAAGGCCGCTTATCGATGTCATTGAAGCCCGAGTTGAAGTACCTGAAGCTCGAGCCAAAGTACCGCTAGATGTCAACTCGCATGTAGCCTTTGAGGCAAACCAACGTTCCGAGCCTGAAAATAGCATTCATGGCGGTACTCGATCTGCAGCTCGAGACTCCCATAACGTGGAGGAGAACGGAGTCAGCTTGCGTATGATCTTTGAAATGTTGCAAGCCCAGAAGGTAGCGATAGCTCAGTTTTAGAGCCAAACCCAGCTACCAAGCAGACCGGAGTCCAGTCCACCTCGAGAAATTGCCCACCGAACAGAGCCAGCCGTAGTAAGGTCAAACGAGCAAGAATCGAGGGCTACTCCCAAAAGCGAATCGAAGCCAACGATAAGAAAGTAGAAACATATAATTCCAGGGTCGATCAAATCCAGGGGCTCCGCCCATGATAAAAGGGTTGGATTCCAAGAAATTCGTACAAAAGCCTTTTCTCTCGAGTGCAGCCCCAAAACCAATCCCCAAAAAATTCCGTATGCCCGAAATCCCCAAATATAATGGTACGACCGATCCCAACGAACACGTCACCTCTTACACGTGTGCCATCAAGGGTAACGATTTGGAAGACTATGAAATCGAATCCGTGTTGTTGAAAAAATTTGGAGAGACCCTCTTGAAGGGGGCAATGATTTGATATCATAACTTGCCACCAAATTCCATTGATTCATTTACCATGTTAGTGGATTCATTTGTAAAGGCACACGCCAGTGCCATAAAGGTTGCAACGAGGAAATCAGACCTTTTCAAAGTGAAACAAAGGGATAATGAAATGCTGAGGGAGTTCGTGTCCCGATTTCAAATGGAACACATGGAATTTTCACCGGTCACACACGATTAGGCCGTTCAAGCTTTTACTCAAGGGTTTAACGAGCGAAGTTCGATAGCATCATGTCGGTTGAAACAAAATTTGATCGAGTACCAGGCAATAACTTGGGCAGATGTGCACAATCGATATCAATTAAAGATCAGGGTCGAAGACGACCAATTAGGAACTCCTTCCGGGTCCGCACATCCAAACAGATCAACTATTAAAAACCAGAGGGACATCGACAGAGAACCAAGGTCGAACAAAGACCGACATCAACCATACGCCACAGATCGAATGAATAACGGTTAGACACAACCCGGAACAATCGAAGGAGTGATCGAAGACAGAATTCTCGGGGACTGATGAGCAAGAATGGCTTTGACAAATATGTCAATCCTAGAGAGGCACCTCGGTTATCGGAGTATAACTTCTGTATCGATGCATCGAGCATTATATCGGCAATCGGAAGAATCAAAGATACTAGGTGGCCCATACCCATACAGATCGATCTTTCCCAAAGAAACCCAAATTCTATGTGCAAATATCATGGTACGCATGGTCACAGGACCGAGGACTGCAGACAGTTAAGGGATGAGGTAGCTCATCTATTCAATGAGGGCCACCTTCGAGAATTCCCCAGTGATCGAGCCAAGAATCACTTTAGAGAAAGGGACTCTAACAGAAAAGACAAACAAGAGGAAGCTCAACATATCATTCGCATGATCATCGGCGGGGTCGACACTCCACAGAGACCCACGCTCAAATGCATTAAGGTATCGGCCACATGGGAAAATCGAACCCGAGGTTATGTACCCGAGGGCACTTTATCATTCGAAATTGAAGAAGCGGAAGGCATTTCTCAGCCTAACAACGACGCTCTGGTAATTTCTATCCTATTACATAAAGTTCAAGTTAAGCGTGTTCTAGTCGATCTAGGTAGCTCTGCGAATATCATCCGATCTTGGGTAGTGGAGCAACTCGGTTTGCAAAATCAAGTCGTGCCCGCAGCTCGGGTATTACACGGCTTCAATATAGCCAGTGAAACGACTAAAGGGGAAATTATTCTACCCGTGAATGTGGCTGGAACCATCCAAAATACCAAGTTCCACGTAATCAAAGGCGACATGAGGTACAATGCCCTACTCGGAAGACCTTGGATCCACAATATGAGGGCAGTGCCTTCGACTCTCCACCAAGTGATGAAATTCCCTACGTCGGACGACGTGAAAACAGTAGACGAGGAGCAACATGATACGAAGGAAATGTTTGCGGTCGATGAGGTAACACTGATACCAACGTTATCGGCCTCAGAAAGGTCGAGCACAAAATATAGACGAGAAACCAAATAGCAATCACAACCACCAGTCTCGACCGAATCGGTGAAGTGGGAAATAGAAGATGACGAGGAAGAGTTTCCGACACCTCGAACTTTTATCGTCCCCGACGACTCCGACGCTACCAAATCAACGATCGAAGAGCTGGAGCAGGTTATATTAATCGAAAGGTATGGCAGGAAAAAATTGGGAAAGGTATACCTGGGAATGAGATTGACCCCTGAACTCAGGAAAAAACTTATTCAATTTCTTAATAACATAGATTGTTTTGCTTGTTCCCATTTAGACATGGCAGGGATCCCACTGTCGGTAACAACGCACCAGCTGAGCTTGGACCCTAGGTTCAAACTGGTGAAGCAAAAAAGAAGACCTCAGTCCGAGGTAAAGCACGCATTTGTAAAGGATGGGGTAACTAAACTTCTCAAAATCGGGTCAATTCGGGAAGTAAAATATCCCGAGTGGTTAGCCAATGTAGTTGTAGTCCCTAAAAGGGGGAACAAACTTAGAATGTGTGTAGATTATAAAGATCTAAACAAAGCATGCCTCAAAGATTCTTTTCCACTACCTAGCATCGATCGCATGATCGATGCCACAGTCGGCCACGGGATACTTACTTTTCTTGACGCCTATTCAGGGTACAATCAAATTCGAATGAACCTGGAGGACCAAGAAAAGACTTCATTTATCACCAAGTATGGAACCTATTGCTATAATGTAATGTCAATCGGGCTAAAAAACGCAGGAGCTACTTACCAATACCTAGTGAATAAAATGTTCGAAGAACAAATAGGTAAGTCGATGGAAGTTTACATTGATGACATACTATTTAAGTCCCTACGAACAAAGGACCATTTGACTCATTTATAGGAAACGTTCAAAATCTTAAGGAAATACAACATGAAGCTCACCCCGAGAAATGTGCTTTCGGGGTTGGATCAGGCAAGTTCCTTGGTTTCATGGTATCGAATCAGGGAATCGAGATCAACCCCGACAAAATTAAGGCCATCGAAGACATCACCGTCGTGGATAGTGTGAAAGCAGTGCAAAGGCTAACCGGAGGGATAGCTGCCTTAGGCCGATTCATTTCGAGGTCGTCAGATCAAAGCCACAAATTCTTCTCTCTACTCAAAAAGAAGAATGATTTCGCCTGGACCCCGGAATGCCAGCAAGCACTAGAGCAATTAAAGCGGTACCTATCGATACCACCACTACTTCGCACTCCGAAGGCAGATGAGAAGCTTTACTTATACTTGGTGGTATCAGAAATCGCACTAAGTGGCGTCCTAGTCCGAGAAGAGCAAGGTACACAGTTTCCTATTTATTATGTAAGTCGGACCTTAGAAGAAGCAGAGACTAGATACCCACACTTAGAAAAATTGGCACTTGCACTGATAAGCACCTCTAGAAAGTTAATGTTACCCCATATGCGTTTTAACCCATATGCGTTTTAACCACTTACCCACTTCATAA